TGCCAGTCAAGAGTATTTAATGAAATCTGAAAGAAGTACCTAAGCCTTACCCTTGAATTTCTTCCATTTTATTTAACCTGACTGAGGGAAACACATTTAATTTGTATTTCACATTTTTCAGCATTCCAAACCTTTGCATAAAAATTTGCTAGACAGCTGAGTGGAAACGCAGCTTCATCTCCTGTCCCCTCACTGACTCTGCCTGGCAAACTGTCACTTATCTTGGAAATCGATCTGTTTCCCTCAAAACACAGAGGAATGGGAGATATTTCAGGCCTGAGCTCATCGTGTACCCAAACCTGCCGGTCTTTACGCCTCCCTGTCCGAAGCCGTTTCCTAGATGAGTAAACACCTGTCCAGAGACTCAGGGGGAAAGAAGCACCGAAACTGCTTCCTGTCATGGGTACAAGCTGGAAGCAGGAAATAGCATCCTGTATGACAGAGGGTTACATAAATAAAGCAGGACCACTTAAATAATGACACCAAAGTTTCCTTTTCAGTCTGTGCTAACTATATTGATGAAGCACTGATTTGGTTCCTTTGTTATTCTTATTGCATTATCAGTTTGTAATGATCATTTTCAAATAACACAATTCCAACTACTGTTTGATTGCGAGAAAAATATTATATATAATATATTATCGTCTGTTCATATAAAAAATTCTATATAGACTGTGCCTTTCACTCAAGCGTGGGGTGTTCCTAAGACCCACTGTCCATCTGTTTGCTGACTCGCTTTTTATGTAGCTCTTCACTCAGGGGAGGCAGTGGAGGCACCGCAAATGAACAAAATACAGTCAGAGAGAATTTCACATGGCAACATTTTCTCATGCTGAATCAAAAAGCAGTTGGGACAGGAAAAAAACAAACTGTGGGAGTGTCTTTGCACTCCCTCCTTCTCTGCTGCTTGTATTATTTTGCCATGCAGTTATATAAACAAGAATATAAACAATCAGCATTTCTTGAATGAGAGGTCAATCCTGAGTCATTGTCAGACTGACTGAACTCTGCACAAATGGTCGTCCCTTAGAAAAGAATGGGGAGTGAATTCCTGTATGACTTCAAGCAGTGTATTTTAGAATAGGATATGTGGGTTACATTCAAATTAATAATTAATATAATTTTAACAAATTATACAAGTTCAAATTCATTCTAACTTGATTGTTTGAAAAAGTGACAGCCTTTAGCCTTAACACACACAATATTGTTACTTCGGTTTATGTCTGACACCCGCTAGGAAAAAAAAAATCACTTCACAAACTTAAATGTCACATCTGTGTCTTATTTAGAGCCTCTCCTTAGTGTTACCAGTTAATGTCAATCTATGATTACCATCAACATATGTGTACAAAGAAATAAAACATAACCTTACATTATTACTGAATATGATATGAGTGTACATGAGGTACAGACAGCAGTAAATGGACTATCAATGAAAATGATACCAGTGTCCCTGTTTGAACTGGATCTAAAACACTGTAACAGAGTGACGTTTAGAGCGGAAACAAAGGCTATTTACAGTACACATTGTGTACACCAGCATACATGCATACACACACGCCATAGTGCTTTCAAAAAATTCCTTGTCTTGACAGAACCAGTCAAGCAGCTCCTCCAGAGACCAGCGAAGATTAACACTGCACAGCCAGCATGAGGACAGTACATGCCACATACACACACACAAACGCCATACAATATATAAAAAAAAAACTGACTGCACTTGGCTTTGTTACCAAGCAACAAAGTAGGAGTCATGGTTCAATGAGTGATGCAAACTCTTGTATTTGGACAGAGACCAGTTGTGTCTAACAGATATGCTATTGTTGCGTTACTGACACAGGCTCTACAAACTTCCATTGACTGTCAGTTAGTTATTTATGTTGGCAGTGAACTGGGCGATTGTCTGACGCAGAGAATGACAGACGGGGTGACTGACAGAGAGTGGCACTCACAGAAGCAAACAAGTGATTCAGACAAACTGTCTATTAACGCACCATTGAGGCATTCATCATAACACTCGGCCCTTCCACTTAATAAAATACAACCCCTTCTATCATTATTAAAATTTCTAAAAGATGCACAAAAGCTCCAGGACAGCTACTAAATGACCCTTGAGGTGAGATTGTTTTGTCAACTGTTGTTTCCAAGGTCAAGTGTGAACTTTGAGCCTCAACTTTTTAAAGAGCTCGGAAAAACTAAATCTACTGATGAAGATCGTGCGATATGATTGACAGATGGGAGAGAAGGGATGGAACCCTGAGATGGGATTGTCAGATCCAGCATCTGCTCAGTTAAATGGTTGTCATAAACATTTCCCCAACCAAAAATCAGGCCTTCATCGCCGTTCGCTCTTATTGTTAAATCCACTGTTCTATCCACCACACTACATCAAAGTTGCTGCTTCTTATCCACTGTGCCTCATTATTTAAATGTTTTACTTAACTAAAGAGGATTCTTCCATCTAATAGTAACAGCAACTCTACCAGCTTTACATCCTTTTCTCTTTTAAAGAATAGCACCCTCTTCTTTTTGTACAGCACAAAGACCTACGACCTTTATTATTTAAAAATCTACTTTAGATCACGTACAAAACGTCTGCTGTTTGAAGAGAGGCCCGGACAAGAAGGCAATATAAAACACTGCTGTGACTATAAAGATGATACAAACAAGAACAAAGCCTATAACACTGTCACATACAGCACAAAAGTCTATAGAGAGTAATTAGTCTGAAAATACATAAGGATCGTCAATCAGAAACAGAAATATTGCCTTGAAGTACTAATCTCTACGACCTTTACTGGAATTCAGCAACAGTCCTTAACAAACAGTTTTCTGTATAGTGTTGTCTGTGGAAAGGTTAGTGTATTGAAAGCTTTTTTCACCCAGCTTCACCCCAACACGGGGAGCTGACAACTGAAAGACAGCACAGGCTATACTGGACCGTATGCACACAGGTAACAGTGGTAGGATTCGTTTAGTTTGGATTTGTGATTTGATAACTTTATATTTAGACACAATCCAAACTCGAGCCTTGCTCTTAATTTGTCAGTTTGGGTGTCTGTGATGTACTGCTGTGTGTAACTTCTTATTGTAACTTATTACTCATTTTGTGTACTGTTTGTCACTGTGCATAGGTTTTAATTAAGACCTGCCAAGGGACTGCAGCTGAAAATCAGCTCCAAGCTAACTGGTAAAATAAATCAAATGGGAATATTTATATTTAATATTGTACATGTATACAAAAATGACCACCTGCAATCATCAGGCTGGCTTTTTAGTAATATTTATACATCTCAAAATAATAAAGCAATTACTATGCTACCCTTTTAAAGAACAATAACCTTCCTGTTATTGCATCCTGTCCTTAGGTCTCACCTTCTTCACATAGTGGCTATTGTGCATAGGAACAAAACTGAAAGAAATACACACAAACACACACACCCATTGAGCAGTAAGGTAACACTGAAGCTTTGAGCCTTACTTGGCGGCGGGGCGTGTCGACGTGTCCTGCAGGTCTCCGGGGTCAAACAGCTGGGAGCCTTTCAGTCCCAACTCCTCACAGCCTCGCAGAAACACACTGAGGTTGTCCTGCACAGAACACACACACACACACACACACACACACACAATTTTGTCAAGATGAATTCGCTGTTGGCAGAGACAGAAGGCAAAGTGAGGTCAGGTCTGTTAACTGCTCAAGAGCTTAACTCAAACGCAACCATGACACACGGACACATACATACATTCTCCCTCTCTGATTCACATTCAGATCATAAAATTACTGTAGAAAATACACTATCGGCACTACAGCACAGAAATGAAAGTAAAGTTGGCAAGTTGGGTAAGCAACTCTCCACTCAAACACTATACATACACATTTGTTCAGTTCTCAGTGCGTCTCTATGGACTGTCCAAAAGTCCAAAAATGTCTTCATTCCTGAAGCGTAAGAAGTACAAAAACACACACACACTCATTTAGAGATAAGGTTGAGATCCTCCTTATTTGATACACTGTCTCCCTCTGACATGCACACAAACACACACACCACATAACAGCTCTTTCAAGGTCTCTCTGTCACACACACACAAAAAATACACGTTGGCCAGAGATGTAGAAGAATAACTGCATGAGATGGCAAGATTCCAGGCAACTTATTTTACAAATTTGAAGAGGATCCATTTTTTTTTTTTGCCTGCATACAAACATGCAAATACAAACACACACACACAAAGTGAAAATCAGGATACCTGTTCGACAGAAACGTGACACCACCTGGTTCTGTCCCCGGCTTTCGTCCGTCTGCTCTCTCAGATTACTCCAACTTTCACTCTTCACCTTTTGCTCCCTTTAAGTGTCTCCTGCTTCCTTTCTTATCTCTCCTCATTCACCTGCTTTTCCTCGATCATTCTTTCTTTCTCTTCTTCTCTACCTTTCACTCTCTCCCCATCTTCTCAGTCTTCCTCTCTCTCTCTCTCCTCTGCTCTCAGGCAAACTCTTTGTTGGATGCAACCTGAACCGAGCTCTCCTCTCCTGTTCCCAGGTTCTCTCTCTCTCTCTTTGTTTCTATGTCTCTCTATCCTTCAGAGGACCACAGCGAAAGCCCTTCCCTCTCCCTCTCTCTCTCTCTCTCTCTCAGGGTGTCACCATTTCCTCTCCACCCTGATTGTCCCAAGCGCTCTCTCTCTCTCTCTCATACACCAAAACAAAAATACAAAGCCCTCAAATCCACATACAATATGCACACATTTAGACAAAATGCTGTTTTAAATATATATAATTTTAAGTCCTCAAAAACATAACATAACTTATTAATATGTACACACTAGCTGTAAGAACACACGTATGGCTACATACACATAAACACACACACACACATTTGGAAACACTTGTTCTCACGATCCTTTCCCATTTGTAGCAAAACACCCCCTCGAAACCCACCCTGCAGCTTCCTGTGTTTTTGGGACAGTGCCATCTCGGCTCTCCTGGTGAGGCAACCCCACCCGCCCATACACACACACAAACGGCCTTCTCTTTGAGAGAGGACACAGCAATCTCTTCTTTTGACAGTTTTACTCCAGGGAGGACACACCTACAGTGGGATTAACTGGGTCTCGCACTCACACAGCTGCTGCTCAAGGTCATATTAGACATCAAAATAAGGGGCTTTCTGTCCAGTTGCTTACTATCACTGTGGGCTTAAGTTAAGAATATTTTCCAGATATCTGAAATGTATTATCATTGGAACAACAAGGGACTCCCTTAGGGTGGGGACAGCCTGTAACAGGGACTCCCAAAGCTTTTGTGTCAGGATTTCAAGTAAAACAATCCAAATATGACTCAAATATCCCCATTGGATGAGATTCTGTAGTAAAGTTTAACAACTGGGTGGACTGTTTTGTTAGACATACAGAGTACATAGGCAAACATCTCTGCAATCATATACATCAACAGTGAACTATTAGTTATTCACTTTGCTTTGAAGCTCTCGATATAAACTTGGATACATGTTGTAATGTGGATCAGTGAACTTGCTCAATAACGCTGTCCATAAACAAAATATAAACAATCATGTCTGCAGTAATCATGCACTCTGATTACGGATTATGATACTCTGAGTATACATAAAAAAAGAAGCGCTTGAAAAGTTGCCACCAGGGTCTGGATGGGGATCTGATGGTGTTGAAAACAACCATCTCAGCTATCACAGAGCAACTTCAACTCTAACCTCAGCAACTTTTTTCCACATTTTTCCCTATTTTCCATCAGTTGGTATTTCACACGGTCTGGAATAACAAACAATGGAATAAACAACAAGTCAACAGACCATTAAAGAGGCTCATTTAGTAGCAACTTGCGTAATGGCAAACAGGATAATTTACTGGGTGTTTGGAGTGTGTGCGAGGAGGTGTGTATATGTGTGTCTTAAGAAGTGAGCATAACTTTGCAGGTCACTGCCACAGGAAACTGGGCGTCTACCGCAGAGAAATGACTGACAGCTGAATGTGTTTGTAGAAGGATTGGGAGGCAGGAGGTGGATTGAAAGGCCCTGTCCACTCTGTTAAAAAAATTGAAGTCGTGTAGAAATATAAACATTGGCAAAACTAAAATAATAAGTAATAATTACAGAGAAGACAAAGGTCAATCACCAAGGGCCTTCAAAATGGCATTTAAACCACATCTAAATATATGTCCAGAGTTAAAAGTCGATGATTATTTGAAATAAGCAGTAAACAAAATATTATATGTATAAATTAGCAGTAAAAACAAACTTTATGAAAGCAACATGTTCCAAGTTCCAATATTACTCACAGCGCATAGGATGATAATTATTATTTTGTGTGTGTACTGTACACAGTGTGTGTCATTGTAATCAATATCCTATTACCACGATAAGACCAACAAGGTTTCTCATGGAAGAGGATCAGTGGTCACGTCCTGATTTTAGTCCTTGACAGAACCCAGAGGAAAGCAGCCCCGGATGAGGAAACAAGCCACTTGATTGTTAACAAGAGATCTCCCTGTACAGGATAACTCCCAGAAATGAGGCAAGGGTTTTTATAGATTCACAAATATACTGACATTAAATAGCAAAAGACAAATGATGACTGTGTAAATATGCATTTATATGCATACTCACTAGAGTTAGACCAGTATATTAGCCAATATTAGCTACAGACTATAGGCAACAGAGGTGCCTGACAAGTTAGCAAACTAAATGTCCTGCTCAGTACGTCATAGTCACAACAATTAAGAAAAAAAAAAAAAAAGTAAGAGATTTTATTAAAAATGTAAAAGTAAAAGTAATGTGTTCAATAAATATTAAATAAATATTTAAAAAATGACTCTCTGCAAAGGTGTTGTTACTCAAATTTAAAAAATAGTCCAAAATATTGATAGTAGTAAGCACTCATTTTGTTTTATTTTTCTGTTCTTTTATTATTTTCAAGTAAAATCTTATATAAATGAAAAGCTCTTAATGCACTGAGGCATTTCAATTATCTCAAGATAGTAATGAAGCATAAAATCCCTCAAACGACTATGAAAATTTTAAATCCCCAAAGCTGGAATTACAAAGGTTTTACGTAACAGTCTGTGTGAGTTTATTATTATTATTTGTTTACATGTGCGTCACTGAAAAGTAATACAAATGCCTGCTGCACTAAATGCGATGTCTGGAGAACAACACATTTTTTTAACATGTGAATAACTACCATTCAACTTCAACCAATCTCCACTGCGTGTCTGTTTACACACTATAAAACATGAGCATACCAGTCGACCCAGAGACGGCTGGGAACATAGCACGCAACAACCAACCTGTTCAGACGAACACACTGAGCCATACAGGCCGAGCTGCCAAAGCACTGAGGTAGCTGCTCTAATTACCAAACAGCCAAACCTCCTCAGAGACTCATTTTCCCATTAGCCCCCAAACAGGAAGAGGAAGGGGGAGTAGCCTGTGTTTTATTATGATGGGCCAGATAACAGCAGCCCCCTTGTTTATGCGTTTCTCACCTCTTTAATCACAGCCAAGAGGAAAAAAAATACCTGCAGGAAGCTATAAGGCAGAATTATGAAACGTCTATAGTATAGAGGGTCATATTGTAATGGAATAAAACCTGCAGGTGTGATTTTAGCCTTATTTCCTCAGATTATGAATGTAAACATGTTGTCTTCAGTGGATGAACCATCCGCCCTTTGGGCCAATTAGAAATGGTCATGCAATGTATTTTTGTCCTGTAACTGCACTGCCTCTCCTTGGGCCAATAAGGGCAGTTGTTTTTTAATAATGCGACATGCATCAGTCGCTGTTGTTACGAGATACTTTCCAGTTTAACGATCAAAAAACCTTTGAAATATTGTCCACTATGATAAAAATAAAAGCCCCTACAATAACCATTAAGTGGAATTAACACCTCAAAAGATAATCAACAAATTATGCTATTTGTTACTTGGATTGTTTAATAGATTTCATTGTATTACATACAAGTGTTGGCGTTACTGTGTCCACCTGCCATTGATAAATACTTTTTCAATTTTCTCATTTGATTTTGGCAGTGTTGATTTATCTGAAGGAAATGAAGATCTGACAACTAAACATTCCAATGTGAAGGTCAGTAGTTTTAACAGTATAAGCTTTTAAAAAGCCATGGCTGTCAACCAGTGCAGATGAACAGATTAGAGTCCATTAGGCCAGATAGATGAACAGTATACTAGAGTAACTATAGTGAAGAATGCACGATAGTACAACCAGAAAAAGACAGGAAGAAAAACAAAGACAGAAACCAAGCACCGAAAACAACAGAAACTAAATATTTATGTCCTTGCACAGATCTCATAGTTAAAGTATTACAAAAATGGAGTAAGCTCAGAAGCTACTGGGTTTAAAAGCTCAAACAGGATAATCAATTGTTATTCTAGCAGTCATTGTATGGTGGGGAAAAGAAGGGCCCATAAAGAATGTGGCTGTGTAATTATCCGCCACTTGTAAAAAACCAGAGAAGGCTCATTGGCAGCCATTAGTGACGCCATGCGATAAGAAAAGCAATTTCAGCCCAACTCAGACTTCCTGGTCTGTTCTGTCACACTGCGATTCAGATACTACCCAGCTCCCCTTACATCTTGTTATATAAGTACTACAACTTCTGTCCTAGACACCTGTACCCCTTTTGTACGCCACCATCCCATAATAACCTCCTTTGTCTGTAATTACTGTTCATTGGAACTTGGAACAATAAATGGAATCTTGATTCAACCTCAATAACTTTCATTAAGGAACTCAAACAACCTGTCAGTGCAGTTTAATGTCTGTAATCACACTGACGTGGCCTGTACTTTATATCATGAATAATGCCACAGTTTCACAGAGTGAGTAAAAAAAATATCTGCTTTAAAAAACAAGCTGAAAACTAAATTTTTAGAGGGAAGAAATCTCAGTTTATGGCCAAGTAACCATTCAGTAATTAGTGCTGGTACACAGACTTATCAAACCCTTGCAGGTACAGAGCTTACTGCTTTAAATACTAAAGCTGCTTATTCTTTAAAATTTGTATTGTGGTTTTGCACTGTGACATGGTGTGTGCTATTTCTGTATAAACCAATGTGTTACATTAACAGTCTTTAAGACAGCATTTAGGAATGTAACTGAGAGCAAGTTAGGAAGGAAAGAGAAATGGAAGCACATTTAGAATGAGTTCCGATGTGATCAACTTTCAGTGTGCCTCTGTTTACATGTCGGGCCCTGGTCCTGAAAGGTCACTTCATCCAGATCAAGGTCTTAAGACATCATGAAAGGGCTCCACTGTATTGCACTGTACTCTACTGAAATGTATCAGTGTTCAGGTCGACTGAAATTCACAGGCTCTCATTCAAAACAGGAAGCAAACTTAAGATTTAAATAAAACCACAGACAACAATGCACATTATTCAGTTCAGGTTATGGAATCAGGAATACATTTCTTCCTGCTCAGGTGAAAAAAATACTTTTTGACGGTTTTAGTAAATCAAACTAATTTTGTTTAGAAATAAATGCAATGGAAAGACAGGGAAATGGATGTGTGTAGTACTACAACTGTCTTACTGTGCAATAAGTGAGTCATTATGGCTCTGTGTCACACACGGCTGCTGATGGACACCTTGGCTGTGAGGACTGAAATGGAGATCTTCCAGCTGCAGATATCTGTAATCAAACCCTGATAATAACACACCGGGTGCTATATAATGTAAAGTCTATCCAAGCCAGTAAATCAAAATATCAAATGATTATTGTCCTGTATGTCTGTAGTTATTGCCTTAGGTGACACTTCAGTAGTATCCAGAATTTGCTTCCTAAACCACACTGACAAAGACAAAGAAGTTAACTGCAATTTGAAACGTGCCTTTTTTTTTTTTTTTTTTTACATACCTTGGCAGTCATCCTTAGATACAAATCACTAATAATTTGATATGATGAGGTTTGATGTAGTTTTTATTAGGCACCTGGAATATGACAGGGCTGCTAATCTGTAGGCCATCTTTCTGCTTTGGAAAGCTGCAGGTATCAAAACCATAATCTCAAGTTACAAGGCATGTGGCTGCCATACTTTCCCTGTGATACCACTATGGACATTTTTTACACTTTCAAGTTTTTAGAATTTGACAGCACTGAATAAGATTTGCCTCAAGCATCCCTGGAGTGGGAAACACACAGCAAGGGGGGGAGACAGAGACATAAAGTAATGTGACAAGGAAGGAAAAGCAAGAAATAGCATAGGGAAAAAGATCCAAGAGGAAGACAGTCTTAAGGTTTGTAGTGTAAAGGATGAGTGAGGGTAGAGGACTCACCAGGCCAGCTATGGGTGTTGGAAGTCTGTTAATTTTCTTCACCAGGCCGGGTTTAATACAGCTCAGCAACCTAACAAAAGGCACACAGGGAAGAAGACATTACGACAAAAACTGAATTGAAAAAACAAAAAACAAAAAGCAGAGTCATGCCTTTAAAACTTGTCTAGATGAATATTTTATATGATGCATCACAAAGTAAGTTTATACCCAGCTCAAGCAGAGTGAAATAACTGCAGGCAAAATAGATAAAGAGTGTGTGAAACTGTGTGTATATGTGTGTGTGTGTGTGTGTGTGTGTGTGTAGGGGGATCAGAAAAGGGAGAGAGAAACATTTTGGAGGGTCCCCACAGTGGCGCCTAGAAGGTTTATGACAAGGCAGATCCTAAATCAGAGTTCAGAATCAGTGCTTTTCCTTCCACCCGCTGGGAGCTGTTAACTAGTTCCAGTATGCTTCACAGTGAAGTACTATGTGAAGAGGTATGTCCTTGTGCTGTCATCTCTCATTGCACGTACCCAGTAAAGTTTCAGCCTGTTCCTGCAAACTCGGGCGGCTTGTCAGTCATGAACGAGCAGTTTCAGAGTTCTGTTCTATCTGACTCCAGTTTCATCTTTTGTGTTGTTTTCATCGGAGGAAGCAGTATAATGATTCTGCTCTGTGAAGGAAAAACCCACCCTTGGATACGCTTACAGTATTAAATGTCAGCCCTGTGATGTTGATGGCATTCCTTCAGGTATTTTGCGATGAAATGCTGTAATTCACCTTTTTAGTGAACTCTTTCCCTCAGCCTGCCTCGTCTACTTCAACTTCAGTTAGAGATTTCCTGCTGTACTGTTTGTTTCCCAGAATAACTTTCAACAACCCCAAGAGAAGGGTGTTCTCAGTGCTACATACAATATGATATGTGTAGGAGGGGAGAGTGAGCAATGGCAACAGTGAAGACAATATCTCCACTCTTGAAAAATTGCCTGGAATGAGATTAATGTTGCAGTCTGCTTTCTTTTTGTTCTTTTTTTTCCCGAATGACAAAAGACTTAACTATTTCTCTGTTTCAATAGCTCTTCTAAGATAGATTTCTCCCTGCACAATTGTTGAGCATCAGCACAGAGGACTGTGTTTATAAAAATGTTTTTGGGAAAAAAATTGAACAATCCCATTGAAGTATTTCCACCATAGTTACAAACATAAAATCAGATGTTTTGCCAGTAATGAGCAGGCAGTGCAGGGCCCATTTGTGTCTGCTGAGGACTGTCACAGTGAAAAAACTTTGTACAGCATTAAGAGGAAATGGGAATGACTATAAGAGTGAGAGTGCTTTCCTGGATTTTAAAACAAAGACACAAACAAAACAAACACGGTACAAGCGACATTAATGCATCATCGTCTTCTTGGTGTTGAGTATGTACAGGGACAAACACATTTCCTGACGCCTTTTGTATCAGGAAAAAGAGGAAGAGGTTGGACGGTGTTTCGCTTACCGAATTAGTGAGATTCAAAACAAGCCGAACACAGGAAGTCCAATCTGCTCACTCCTCTGCTGCTTGGATACCATTGAAGTGCATTACTTGACTAAACGCTTGCACGATTAACCCACATCAGTAACTTAAACGTTTGGGAAACTGTCCAAGGATCATAGGTTTGATCTCAATAACTGCTAAAGTGTGTCAATGAACACTAAATATTCTGTTTAAAGGTCCCAGAGTCGTCTGCAGCCATTTACTCATCGTGAATCGGTCTGTCTTTAGGGGAAAGCATCAGCTAAGTGATGTCATGAATACTGTTTGTTGCCAAGGTGTATGTTACAGCTTTACATAGATGTATTACCAAGTGGTTTGACTGAGAATCTACAGTCCACAGGGAGTTTGTATGGTGAAACCCATGTAAGGAAGTGTTTTGTGTGTTTTCAGGGTCAAGGCACTTAGAAGAAAGACAATGTATAGATGATTGCCTATTACTACAGTCTACTAAGTGTTAAAACATTAATTGAGAGAATTGTGCAGATTGGACAAGGGTTGGGCTCTCTGAGAGGTTATTCATTTTTAATATGCTAATTGTTGTTGGTCATAGGTCAACTCACCATTATTGAATAATATTTAGATTATTTTTTCAATGATCAATTCACGCTTTTAGTTTCTAAAACATCCAGAACATGTTGTTAACATGCTGTAAGCACACTGAAAGTTGACCAGCTGTTTTCATCTGCAAGCCACTTTGGTGCAGGCTGCCTCCCATGGAGTCTGCCATGTTGAACCAGCATGTTTCTACAGTAGCCCAGAACAGGCAAACCAAACACTGGCTGTAGAAAGAGCCTTTATCGTTTTTTGCAAGTTTTGTGACCGCCATAGTTTCACTTCACAGCCCACTGTCATTCCAGGGTCATCAAATACTGACACGAGCTGGTGATTATAACCATGATTTCTCCAATTGTGCCAATCACACATTTAGAACACACTAATATTTCCTGATTTTCAGGGTCTGGAGTCTTGCTGTCTCTCTGGATCGTCCATGGTATTTCAGAAATTCCAAAACCAGTGGGGGCACTGTTAAATTGGATGTGATCTCTGTATTCACAATAATGATTGTGTAAACAGTGGGCTTGTGTAACTAAACTTGGCAGAAAGGAATATGGAAGAGGGAAAGTGCAAGTGCAACTGTGTGTGTGTGTGAGTGGTGGGGGGGTGTTCTGTCTCATATCAGCACCTCAACTCATTATGAGTGGGCAGACGAGAGTTCAGATGTCGTGCTGGAGGACAATTTAACAGGACACCAGTCTCTCTGATCACTGGACCACAGTGTTGTAACAAGTCAGTGAACAACCTGTTGGACAGCTAATGTTCTTTCTACTCATTCTGAATCATATGTAGTTATTCTAAGCTGACAGTAGAGTCAAATAGAAAGAACCTATATTTCACTCAGACAATTCAGCAATTGACAACAAGGATAAAGGCAGAAGAAACAGCTAGTGGAGAATTGAATTAATAACAGTCAGATAAAAATTTAAATGTAGTCCAAACTTACTCGCATAGCAGTATCCCATTCTCCAAACCTCCTCTGAAATCCTTGTCGCCAAAGCATCTTCCTGTCACTGCCTACAGAGAGAACAAAAGGAGTGAGTTAGCAAAACAATAAGACCAAAAAAATAACATCAAACAATCAAATATGTCACTGAATTTGAAGTCTAGACACACAAGTGCCACTTGGAAACCAAGAAGGAAGCCCAACAACCTTTTTTAACACTCCTTTCACGTCTTTCCTTCGCAGTAAATCCAGGGAATGGTATAGAGAGGTGCACAAAGAGCTGCCGGCCGTATATCAAGTCCCTCTCTGGTTAACGGTGCTAAACACTAACAAGCTTGACATAAGCCGCAATCATCCTGACCAAATGGCTCTGGCAGGCTAATATGTTGTGACAGGGGATTTATTGGGTAATAGTTGCTCAGACCCTCTGAGGAGGAGAAGCTGCCTGTTGCATGTATTTGCATGACAACGGTGCATCATTAGTAATGTGTGCTTTTCTTGCACAAATATTGCAACACATATTTTCTTATTTCTTGTACGTTGCAAGACATTCCTTCAACAAATAAGGAATAAGAAAAGTGTCTAAAACCCTGGTGTAGCAAACCTGTACATGTTCCAAACATGTTTAAGGTTCAAAGCAAAGTTTGAATCCTCAAAATTGCTGTTCTCTACTTCTATCGTTCAACCTTCAGTGGATATTATGACCTTTCACTTTTAATTATGCAAGTGAACAGCGAATCTGAAGTCCCACATGAACACACACAAACATCTCAAGTGCAAATATAAACACCATCAGTGAAATAATTGCCTCCCACTCCAGAATATGTGCTGTTGCAGGACTTTTAGGATCAAATCTACTTAAAATCCATTTATTCTCACTAACACTGGCAGGGATTTGGCCATAAAAAAAGAAGGGGCGGGGGGGGCTTTGGACTGCTGGTTTGGAAGCCAAAACAATTACAAGATTAAATTTCCTGAGAGTTTCTTTTACATTTATTTGCACAGCTGTGGAAAAAAGTGTGGAGATGTAGAGTGTCTGGCCCGACTGTGTGTTTCTGTCAGCTTCTTGGCTCGTCGGGGGGGGGGGCCTGGACCAATTACAAAAGAAATGGACTGCTGTATTACAGTGAGTAGGCAGACAGTAGGCCTCATTCTGGCTGGGGGGCGCGCGGGTGAACGCGTTGTTGGTGATTGGGAGACAGGCAGAGAGGCAGACAGAGATAGAAAAGACAAACAGAGAAAAGAAAGTAACACAGATTTTCCTTGTATGCTGCCATTTAGTTATTCACTGCCACTATTCCCTACTGCGGTGGCACTTGAACAGGGCACTATGTGCCTGGTGTTGACAGCATAAAAGTGAGGCCTGAGTGTGAGGCCTAAAGGTCTGCCTCACAGTACAAACTTATGGTCCACAAAATCCACATTCTATGATTACAATTTATGGCCCTGCTCTGGAGGAAAAGCTCATATGAAGATGGTCTCTCACACATGTGGCACACAACAGGAGATTGTGTCGAATGCGTTCTCTCCTACTGGAAATACTTGTTTGGTTTAGGCAAGTGGTGGCGCCAAGAGTGTGCAGGAGGAGGACTCGTCCATAATTGTATTATATCATTTTTGCATTGTATCATTAGTTCTCTATATGTATTTGGACATATATGCAATATCAACAAAAGAGGGGAAAGCAACATACAGGCAAACAGAACAGAGTACGAAGCAGCAACAATCCATCCACTTCAATTTCCAGTCCAACTGATTCAGACTTTGGTGTTAAAGCTTGTTTGGGGATGCCCAGAAAAGTTTAGGGTAGCAGTGCAAATGTAATTGTGGCTTAATAGGCAAACTTAAATGGCAAAATACCAAAATACCAAATACCAAAATAAATAAATATGCTAAGCAAATAAATAAAACTGTTTATGTTTGAGTTGTTATTTTTTTCTATTTAGTCCTTAAGGTCAGCAGGCTTGGTTAACTAAAATGTTAAAGGAAGATTTTGTCCAAAGGTAATCTGCCTACCACGTCACCAACTAATGTGTTTAATCCATACAAAACAAAGAATTGCAACAACAACAATTTGTGGTTTTACAGGGTTTTACATGGCGTTTCTGACAGAGCCAGGATAGTTGTTTCATGCCAAGCTAAGCTTCATATGTACCGTACAGATATGAGAGATGTGTTAATCTTTTCATCTAACTCGAGGCAAGAGAGCAAATTCGTCTATTTCCAAAAATCAAACATGTTTTAAACATCTGTAGAGCCAGGAGACCTGGTGCAGCCTTAGGAAGTTAAACAGACTAGTTAACACAGACAGTCTAATGTTGCTAGACTGCATTTTCCCAGTTAACAGAGAGAGCTTGTCTTTTCCACTGGGCTTCAGGCCCTGAAGTGACTTGGCCAGACAAACTTCTTTGGCTCTGCCGACTGAGGTTTAACTTAATCAATGGGATTAATTCTTTCTCCAGATTTGCCTCTGATAAATGTTTGTGAAACAAACTGTTCAATCTTTTGTGTGCAACTGTACAACAGACAGTAGAGCCCACAATATTCATGTCTTTTCTACATTACATAATAATATTCTGCATTCTGTAGCACGTGAGGGAACAACATTGCCAGATCTTCAGTGTAAATGTATACCAACCCCAGGTGTAGTACATTAGGCAATAGCATCCCTGGTTTTGCTTGTTAGAGAGAAGCATTTTATGGTCTGATCCCAGTTAAGATTCAGTGGCCTAGATACTTTTATATCTGCTGCTTAAAAAATCTGCAGCCGGGTATATGACCTTGATTTAGGAACTCCTCAATAAATGTGTCAGAGGATGTTAGTACTCTGCTTGCTAACGATTGGATAAACTTTTACTGCTTTGACATAGCAGTGTTATGCCCACAGTCCCATACACCACACCATAAATATAGTCAGGTTTTGGTTACTTGTTAAAAAAAGAAACATGCTGGTTGTTGCAGGGGTTAAACCTGTGTGCTTTGAGTTACAGAAAAGTGTTAGTAACAACTAGGTCAGCTCTTCACTAACCTTGTCAATGAGCATGGGGAGATTATAGTGTCACACCACCTTCTCAGGGAGAGATTACAGTGTCGCTGCCTTTACAAAGATGTGTTTACAGTTTAAGGACAGCAAGTGAAGGAAAAGGATAAAAAATAACACTTCCAATTACTATTAATAAAGTGATAAACTTTAACTTATGCAGATATACAAGGCTTATAATTTCCCTACAGGTGGTATTGAACAAGGTTCCAGCTAGAAATACAGAAAACTGCTCATACTCATGATTCCATAAGAGAAAGAAAAGATAGGACGCGTTCAAATCTGTGTATGTAATTGAATAATTTTTTTCTATATTCAATAAATCCTAAAAATAACTTCATGGGCCTCTGGTGGGCCCAAACCTCCAGATGGAAAGCAGTGTTTTTAAGGTTAGGTCAATTAATATTCTGCCCTTTGGGGTTCCTGCACATTAACATAAATTATAAACCTCTCTTATGGCTATGACCAGGCCTGAACTGTAGAAAATGGCAGAGATTCCGTTTTTCTCATCATCTTGCAGCTTGGCAGTGACTGCAGAGCTGCTAAGGACCTTGATTCATGTACATCTGTTGCTCCCATAAGTCTCATCTTGAGCTGAAGGGCTCATGAAACCCCTGACTGACTAGAGGGGACACTTAGTTTGAGACAACACATTTGGGCAACATATTTATACATAATGTTTTTCTGTTGTGTGGAAGAGTAACACACATGCCATCCTATTGTATTAAACCCTTGAGGGTGGAGGCTGGCTGGCTGGTGGGCTTTGCACCGTGGTTGAGAATATTACCTTCCTAACTAATAAAACACCTCATAAGCTTCCAGTAGGAAGCTTCAGCTAAAGTAACATTGCTATAAAAGTCGAAGCAGCATATTTCTTTCGCATGCGGAGGGAGTGTTGTTTATTGTAGGTTAAGAGCATGGTGCACAGAAAAATAAAAAATGTCATTTGAAGTGGCCATTAAACACTGAATCTGAAACCTCATCAAAATCAGATCTAGTAAAGGAAGTAATAAAATACCCACCGAAGCACCAAGCATTTTAAAAGTTGTTTGCTTGTCATCATGTGGACAGACCTGCCAAAGCAGGAATGAGACTAAAATCGCCATTGTGATTGTGAGTTCTTTCAGCACTCTTTTGATTGAAGCTATGATAGAATGAAAAATATTTATACAAGATTTGATTGGCTGTATCAAAACAAGGTCTCCGTCTGCGTAGATGGGTACTGGAACAGTATTTCGTCAGGGTTGATTGTTTGGGTCACTAACATGAAACCAAACAATATAAAATATAAAACTGGTTTCTGATTTTCTTCTCAAAGGGAAACAAATGACAAGTGCTTTACAGAACAGATATGTGTACTGGAGCAGGCAAAAAAAAATGTCAGTCATACTTCAAATTAAGTCAAACAAATGTCTCGATGAAGATGCATCCTAAAAATGCTGGAAACTTCTGGATGTGAATAGTGTTTTCAAACCACCACAAGGTCATATGAGGGGACTGAATTAAAAGGAGGAATGTGTCACCTCTGTTGTTTTCAGTGGAATGCTGCCTGCATTGTCTCACAAACAATCAAACGATGCTGGTTGGCTTTTTTCCTCCTTTTTACTTCCTTCCCCCTCAAAACCTGTCATGTCCAAACCGAAGTCAAGCTCATGGATTCATGTCCAAAGCAGTCCTCACTATCACTTTTGTATCCACAAACAAAGGAAGCCTCTGTCAGTTTAGAAATGCACAAATGAGCTTTGCAGGCAAACTTAGTTTTTGCCAAATCCTGTTTCCCTGAGGGGGGCAGTAGTGTGTGAATCTATTTTTTTTTTTGTTTTGATGAATTATAAAATAGAAAAACCCAATGAAGTTTCAGCATGAATACTCCCAGGAGACATCGCTTTCATGTTCTGAGAAATAAAACATCAGTCATGAGAAGAGACTCTTCTACGGTCAAATCACGTCTGGCACCACAACAAAAAGACAATTTACTGAAATAATATTGCCAAGAAAAATACAATATTTAGACGAGGACAGAGATAAAAA